CCCTCCCCCCCCCCCCCAACACACACACCGCACTCCACACACACGTCTGTGTGCGTGCAGATTTGGCCGACAACACGGTGGTGATGCATTTCTCCGACAATGGTTACTTTCTGGGCTCCCACGGCCTGAAGGACAAGAGGCTGCCTTACGAGGAGTCGATCCGTATACCGCTCATCGTCCGATACCCCGACATGATCGAACCAACACGTACGTGACATGCACATTCGACCGACCACACACGGGCGACGGTGGTGCCTGCCTGTATCGCTCCCTTTGTGTGTGTGTGTGTGTGTGTTGTGTGTGTGTGCTGGCTGTGCAGCTGACACCGGGCGGTTTGAGAAGGACCTCGTGCTTCATTTCGACATCACTGCAACGGTGCTCGATCTCGCCGGCATCGAACGGCCACCCTACTACCAGGTCCTCCGCCCCTTCCCTCTCCACCCACACCACACACACCCGATTGTATGTGGTTCCATCAGGGAAAGAGCCTCCGGCCACTGTTCGAGAAAAGCCCAGAAGACCCCCCATTGCTCGACGACTGGCGTGACGGCGTGCTGACCAACTACCACAGGGACCCCGTGTGGCACTTCTGGCCGACCTGGTTCTCCTGGCGCACCCAGACGCACAAAATCAACGAGTACCCCCGCGACAAGCACTGGACCGAGGTGTTTGACCTGACGAAGGACAAGTATGAGATGAACAACTTGGCCAAGGAGGACAGCGACGAGAGCCGGGAGCTGGTCGAGCAGATGAGGGCCACACTCAACACCAAGCTCTACGAGGCCGGGTGAGTAGGTGACAGACATTCCACCATACACGCACACCACACCACACACACATCTCTCTCTCCCTCTGTCTGTCTGTGTGTCTGTCAGTGTGCCACACCGAATGCCGTGGTTCCGTGGCACACCCATCAAGCGCCCCTACCCGTTCGAGGCACGCAAACACACCCACTCCCCCACCCGCACTCGCCCGCCACACCCCTCTCTTGTCTGCAGGTGTCGCTGTGGGTCTTTGACAACGAGTCCTCTCGCGACCTCCGCAAGACCAACGACGGACGGCTGCAGGGCGGCGCCGCCATCACCACAGACAGGCGGGGCCCTAACGACGGCCATCTCGTGTTGGAGCAGGGCGGCGGGGGCTACATGGACGTGTCGCACGAGTCGTTCGGCAAGGCCGTGGTCGACCGCACTGTGTCGCTGTGGTTCAAGGCTGATGACCCGCTCATGAAGGACCCACAGACGCTATATGCTGAAGGGTGGGTGATGTCGCACAGAGAGGGGGGGCGATGCGCGGACGCCTGTGTGGTGTGTGGGTGGTCTTAGGGATGAGGAAACAGGTGTGTCGCTATCCATCAAGGGCGGCCTGCTGGAGGGCTACATCGCGTCAGAGGGCCGCAACGCCACCATCCTCGTCCACATGGCGAGCGCCGAGTGGACCCACGCGGCCGTGCGCTTCCTCGGCGGCGACCGAACCTTCTGCCTCTTCGTCAACGGCAAGCTCATCGCCACAGAAGAAACCGAATTCGATGCCATCGCCGCGAAGTCCGACAACGCCGCTTTCGGGGCCTACCTCCCGGCGTCTCCCTCTGCCGATGGCCATGACCACGAGCCGTCATCTTTCTTTTCCGGCCTGGTCGACGACGTCCGTGTCTACGCCTTTCACGAGACCATCCACGACGACGTGCTGGCGTCACAGGGGCGGCTCCTCGCGGAATGGACGTTCGATGACACCTTCAACGACACCAATGCGGAGACAAACGGCACTCTCAAGAGGGAAGGGGAGAAGGAAGAAGCCGATGAGGAGACGGACGATGCACAAGAGACGGCGTTGAGTGAGGACGCGCCTCAGGGTGCGAAGGCGGTCGTGCTGGACGGGGAGAGCACCTGGATGGACATCAGTGGGGACCTCATTACGCGGCGATTCTCCGCCTTGTCTTTGGCGTTTTGGATGAAGCCTGGAGGGGAGGACGGATTCATTGCAAGGGTGGCGAAGTGGAATGAGTCCATGGTCATATTTGACCAGGGTGGCGAGTCTGCAGGAGTGTCTGTGCGTCTGGTTCCCATCAACAACACTCTCGACGCTGCCATCTCAAGCTCAGACGACGACCGGCACCTCCTCTCTGTCCCCTTCACCATCTCCCTCTACCCCTACGAGCACACCCCGGGGTGGACACACGTCACCGTCACCTTCGACGGCACCAACAACGGCCTCTTCGCCATCTATATCAACGGCACCCAGGCGGCCAGCGTCGAGACGGGGCTCGACATGGTCCCCCACTCCGACGAGAACAACAGTGCCATCGGCAGGGCGCATGGCACCACGGCGTTCGGCCCCCTCTATGAACCGTACGAGGTGCGAATGGCGCGGCAAGAGCTGGAGAGGCTGGCAGAGCTCGCTGAAGATGAAGACGAGAATGGCGACGAAGGCGAGAACGAAGACGAGGAAAGGAGAGAACTTGCGCATATCGCAATCGGTACCCCCTCCACCCGTCCCCCCTGTCACGCAGACACCCATATGTGTCGGTTCGATTCATGTGCAGTGCCCGAGGAGGGGGAGCACGACAGAGGCCCCAGCCACCCCAGTGGCGGCAAGCACACAAACGAGGCGGCAACAAGCGACAACGACACCATCGCGGTCAACAGCACGTTGGTGACGGTTGAGGGCGAGGAGGCCGAGGACCCGTTGCCGCCATGGGGGTTCTATGAGGGGCTGCTGGACGACGTGGCTCTGTGGGACATGGCACTGCCCGAGTCGGCGGTGGCCGACCTCTATGCCAATTCACTCATCCAAAAGTATGCTGGTAGGCCAGGCCATTGACGCACAGACACACGCATACACACATTGGGTGTGTGTGTGTGTGTACGTGTGTGTGTGTCCCTCTCTCTCTCTGTGTGGGTGTTGGTGCGCAGGGCTTGAGTGGGACCTGCCCGGCTTCCACTGGACACAGAAGTTCACCTACCGAGCGAAGAGGCAACAAAGAGAAGAAAAGAACAAGACCCACACGGACAACCACACCCACACCCACCCCTCCCTGACAAACGACACAACACACCCATCCGAGCGCGATAAGAACAACTCCTCACAGCCGACTGGCTTTGCCCTGCTGCTGCAGCAGACGCGGCAACGCGCTGACAACAACGGCTCCCATGTGCATGGGGGCGGTGGGAATGGTAGCGAGACACATGCTGTTAGTAATACTAAGAGAGGAGGGGTGATGGTCGATGCGGGTATTGGTGGTGGGGGTGGTGGCGGCGGCGAATTCGGCGGTGCGTGTAGGTGTAGGTGCCGCTGCTGGAGGGGGGGCAAGCTCTTCGGTAGTGTGTTGTTAGTACTAGCGCTTCTGGTAATGTCTGTCTAGTGTATGTGTCTGTAGGTACCTCTGTATCTCTGTATCTCTGTGTTTGTGTCCATCTGTACTTGTCTGTATTTCTGTGTGGGTCCATATTTGTCCACTATATATAGGTCGGTCGTCGGCTGCCTGCGGGTCGGCCTCGCTCTCTCTCCCTCTCTCTCGGCTCTCTCTCTGCCTTTTTCTGCTCTGTCTTTTTTTGTCAAGAGCCGTCCACGGCAGTCAGCCTTTTTCTTGGCAATTAGTGGATGGATGGATGGATGGATGGATGTGTTGCCTCCCTGCCGATTTGTTATTACGCATGGAGTCAAGACAGACGGTGCCAGCCAAGGTGCATAGTGAGTGAGCTGCATGTGCATGACGCTTTATTATGGGTCTCACATGACGCGACAATTAACAGTTCTAACCGCATGAGCCGTCCGTCCCCTCCGCCCCTCACACAAACCCGCACAGGCAAAAATTCTCTCTCTCTCTCTCTCTCTCTCAACCTCATTGTCAGACCATAGACCAACACACCCACGCCCGACACTCTCCTTGCGACAGATCATCTCTTCTCGCGGTAGACCTCCGGCTCTTGCAAGCTCTTAAGAATGCCAAGACACACTGAGCACCCCAGCGTCGCCTGCGGACACACACATAACCCCAACACACACCCATGTTGATGAGCGAATCGTACAAGCGTCCATTTGTGTGCGAATCGTACGATTAGCGACGGTGTGAGAAGCGGCACGATGTACTCGTCGATGGAGGCTTTGACGTTGGCCGGCAGGTCCGTGCCGGTCGCCACGGCATAGGCCTCCACACCCACACTCACACCCCCCAATATCAACGCCACGATGCCAGCCAATATGCCTCCACACACACACAGCAGGAGCGTCAGAGGTACGACACCTCGGCGCACGCTCCATGTCACGCTCACCAGCGAAGAAGGTCCCCTCGGCCGCCACTTGGACGGGGAAGGGCACGTAGTTGTCGAGCTTGAATCCTCCGCCCCCCTCCCTGCTCTCTCTGAATATGTTGGCGAGGTACTTGTCCTCACTCCGCTGCACAGCCTGCCGCCTGCCCCGGGCCTCCTCGGCCTCGTCCTTCAGCACACCATACTTCTCAAATATCTTACGCTCGCTGTCCACAGCAGCACTGGCAGGGGGGTCTTCCGCTGATGGGTCAGAAGGAGAGGGAGGAGGCGATGGCGGGACGGCTGTGCCTGGTGGTGGGCGGGGCTTGGAGGCCTGTGCTCGCCGCCTCTCACGAACGCGACTGCATTCAAACAGACAGCAGGCACGCAACATACAGATGCTGCATTCGTTCATGATCGTCTGCCGCTCACTCCTTTGGATCTCGAAAGCCTCTCTTGCCACCAGCCCCGGGTGCCCTCGCCCTCCTGCCCCTGCTCTTGCCGGCCTCCTTCTCGTCCACCACATCTCGTGTGACAGTGGCCTGCTCGCCCTCCCGAGCAGCTGACCAGCGACGAACACTCGCAGCACGCGGCTGCTGCAAAGATGGCAATACAGATAATGGCTGGAATGCGGTCCTCGATGGGGATCTACGCAGGGCGGATGAAAGACATAGGGACTGCGGCAGGGATAGGGGCAGGAGCAGCAAAGGGAACTGCAGCATTGCCAGGAAAGAGCCAAACAGGTGCTGCTGCTGCAGAGCCACCATCCTACGCCGTCCGGCACGTGTACCTGCACACACAAATGAAAGCACGCGATAATTGCTGATGGATTCGCATTGTGCATTCGAGCAGGCGCTTCGTGTGCCTCTCCACCTTTTTGGAGAGGGTTCTTCCCGCCCTCGCCGTCTGCGAGCTCAAACCCGAAAACCCTGCATATCTAAACCCTAAACCCTTGACTCGAACAAATAACACACACTCGCTCCCCGTGTCTTCCCCTTGTTGGAAAAGACCAAACATCCAGTTCTGGATGGCCGAGACATGTTTGGAGGCTGCATGTCGACACTCACCCCACCCCATCTGCTCTCGCTTCGCTGTGTCTCGTGTGCGGTAGGGGAGAAAGTTGTGTGTTACGGCGGCAAGGAGATGAAACAGAGCCGTAGCAAAAGGTCCTGGTACATGAACGCCACACGAAGGCATCGGATATGATCGACTCACAAGGTGTGTCTTAGTGTCCAAGACGCATCACGACAGTATTCACACTCAAGCCACAAAGGCATGAACGCATCAAACCACCTATGTGATAGATGCATACAATGGACAGACCCGTTGCAAAATAGCCAAGCCAACGATATAAAATGTAGGCAACGATTGCCTGGTTGTTCTTATTCCATAATGAAACACCACTTGCACAAACTCGCCCTGGACAAGTCGGATCTGCACACACACACACACATGAACAGAGGAATTTGAAGTTTTTCCTTCGCCTTCTGTCTCTCTGGGTGTGTTGGGTACATACCTCTGCAGGGTCACAGGTTCTGCAGATGTTGCTGACGTGGGCCAAGGTGTACTGGCGGTTCCTGAAGGTCATGGTGCTCATCTTGGTGTTGAGGAGGATGCACAGCGCGGCCGCATTGCCCGCCGGGGACAGCCTGTCGATGACCACGTCCAGGCTGGCAGCATGCTGGGCCAGCAGCGAGTCTTTGGCGCGCAGCCACTTGACGAGGCTCTTGGTGTTCTCTGACCCGCCCTTCATCTCGAGGATCTTCTGCAGGACGACCTCGACAAACGTGTCATTCATGGCTGACGCGCACAGAGACCAGGGACCGACAGACAGATCAGTGTTCTGGCCTCGCTTCCCGTCCCAACACCCCACACAGCACGGTCCTCTACGTACCGTGCTGCTGCTGCTCCTGATGGTGCCCGTGCTTGTGATGGTGCCCGTGCTTGCTGCACACCACAACATACACACCCACCCACACACACACCAGGCATGTGCACTCATTCATCCCGATTCCACCCCAGGGTGAGCGTGTCTGGGCTGTCTGCCTTTCTCACCTCAGGAAGCTACGATATAGCTTGGACTTCGGGTTGTACAACACCATTGTGCGTCGTCGTGCTGCTGCTGCTCGGGCCTGGCGCGTGGGGGGCTGCTGGGTCTCGCGCGATGGCTCAGCGGCCTCGGTTGGCGACGATGGCTCAGCGGCCTCGGTTGGCGATGACAGAGCAGCCGCGCCGCGCTCATTTGTGTCCAATGGCGGCCGTGGTGGTGCAGGCGGTAGTGGGGTGCAGGCGGTAGCGGCGCCGCCGAATCCGCCCGTGGGAAGAGGGCACCGGCGGCTGCACCGAAGCTATCCGTGCATCCAGATGTTGTGGTGGTGGTGGTAGCTGTTCTGGCGGCGGCGTGGGGATGGAGGAGGGCGCGGCGGGCGGAGCTGGAGGTCCAGGACGACGTTGCAGGCTGGCGGGCGGAGGCTCGACAGGCTCCCAGAGCTCAGGAGGAATCGCCACGTCGCCGTCGTCTTCCTGCAGAGGCACGGAGAGACTTGCATGTTGTGTGCCCTCCCGAACCGTGCATGGTGTCGTATCCTTTGGTACCGGTTCAGATGGATCGAATGTCCAAGGCGACGTGGGCGTCGCGGTGGGCCAGGGCTCTCGCGCTGGGGTAACGATGATCTCGGGGGGGTTGAGCCTCTGAGCCACACACACACACACAGCACAAACAAATGTTTCGATGAAGTCTGTCTGTTTACTTTGAGCGCCAGCAACTCCTCCCGATACACGTTGAGCTCCATGCTGTGGACATGCACCCACGCACGCGACACACGGGTGAACGCATGTGTGCCAATTCGAGTGCACCCACTTACATGAGCAGGTCATTCTTCATTTGGCTCTTCTCGAGTCTCGCCTGCAGGTCCACCTGCTCCGTCGCGCACCCCTGAGTGAACACACGATAGGCACGCCCACACACAGCATTCCCTCACTCGTGTCATTCGTGTGTTTATGCTTCTGTGCTGGCTGAGTAGATAAGTCGACTTACATCCCTCTCGTCGATCTGCTTCCTTAGCCGCGAGATGTCCCTCTCTGCCTCCTGCACGTAGCGAAGGAAGTGCCTCGTCAGGTCGTCAATGACACGTGACCTCATGGCGTCCTTCGTCTCGTACTCGGCCCTCTCGGTCTCGAGCCTGTCTTTCTCTACGGGCCTACAGCACAAGCATGCCATCTTCTGCTTGGAATTCTAGATCTTTGCTGCGCTCCAACCGACGACGCAAGAGACAACATGCCGTGTCGATGCATGCAAGCAGGGCGGTGCCTCTCACTGACGCCCAGCGAATGTCTTGTAGCGCATCGTGGGGAAACCTCCGCCCGTCGCGTCCGAAAGAAGGCGTTGACATCCTCTACCTGTCTGCAGTCAGCTGTAAGGCTCAACTCACTGCTTACCACTTTTGAAAGGTCCGTGCGCGAGATTTAAACAAGAGGCCCAAGGATATAAAACGTAGGCAGCAATTGAGCGGCCTCAGCCGCCTGCACAAATGCAGACAGGCAGAATCATCGATGCGCTAAGAAATCTGGACGTAGCGTACCTGGCTCCCCAGGAGCGAAAACGTCGATCCACGCATCGAAACTCGCCCGTACTTGTCCTGAATACGTCCAAGTAGTAACAGCCACAAAGCACTCCGCATTTTTGTAATGCTGCACAGATGTACACAAACCGTGACGGCGGTGCTCGCCAATGATGCCTGCATCACACAAGAGGATCGGCACGTGTGTTATGGTTGCGTAGGCGGGCGGGGTGTGCCGATGTGCATACCCGTCGTGCTTCGGCATCCTTCTTTTTCTTCTCCTCGTCGGCTGCAGTGTCATAAACAAACACACACAAAGAGATAAGTCTGTGTTGAGCCGCCTTTGCCTATAAGCACATACCCTCTCTGGCCAATTGTTGTTGCTGCTGATGCTGGTCCTGCTCCTCCCTCTGCTTGCGCCTGGCCTCTGCAGAGAGAATCAATCCCATGTGTGTGGGGAAAGAGGTGCGTCTTGTTATTCTCTCACGTACCCCTCTCCTCCAGCTGCCGCAGCCACTCCCTCTCTCGCCGTCTCTCCTCTGCACACCATCCATCCATCCATCCATCATAAAGAAAACAATCTGCATGTGTATGCATCCCTCCTGACCCACCGGCCTCGTGCTGCACCTGCTGGACCTGATTGACAGATGACAGATAGACATACATGGGGAGGGGCGTGTGTGCAGTCGAGTTGATGATACATACCTGGATGGCCGCCGGCTGGTGCTGGTCGTCCTGCTGCTCGTCGTCCTGCTCGTGCTGGTCGTGGGGGCTGCTGGTTGTCTTGGGGCGAGGGTCGAATATATGGGTCACAGGATATAAAATGTAGACGGCGATTTTCTTCTGAGACCATATGAGCAAACATATACGACCGTCGACAGGATGTTTGTGCACACATTGGGGGCCTGTCTGGTCACTCAGCCACACGTACCTTGCTGCCCCTCCTCCTGCTCCTGCTGGCCCTCCATCTGGGACTCGGCCTCCTGCTGCTCCTCGTCTGCAGACAGGCCAGACACCCAATTTCATTTGTGTAACAGCCGTCCGTATCCGTCAGTGGGCCCACTGACCGCTGCCGCCGGCGAAGGGGATTTCATCGCCGTAGTTGCCCAAAAACCAGTTAGGGTGGCTGTGGACGGGGTGGGCGTATTGCTGGTTGAAGCCCACCCACCAGATGTCTGCATCAATCGGTACACACAGCCCAACACACAAGGGGTGTCTGCGTGCACAGTGATGTGTCGCCCCCACACACACAGACATACCCTCGGGCTCTTCGTCGGTCCCCTCCCGCTCGGCCAGCTCCACGGCTGCAGCACCATAGACACAGTGAGCACATCCATCTCTGCCGTGTACGATGATCACTGATTGATTCCTCCTACCAGCTTGCATCTTGGCCGTCAGGCAGGCAGGCAGGCAGGCAGGCAGAGAGCCAGACAGACAGACAGATAGACAACC